AATTGTCAAATGTTGCTGAAGAAATAAAAGAGAGAAAGAACCATTGTTTGACTTCATTCTTATTTTGAAAAAAAAAAAAAACATAGGAGAGGGAAGTGAGCAAAAATGTGCAGGGGGGAGCCAAATGAAATTATCCTAGGATAAGACCAAATAAAACAAAAGTAGGCAAGAGACAAGGCCCTTTGATATTTTTGATTACATTTACAGTGCCCTACAACTCATTAATTAAAAACGGGGGGTCTTTTTTCTTTTATTTTTTTCACTGCTATGAACTTTTTTGTCCAACGTCTGAGACTTCAGCTGGAATCTTAACTGTTGGATGAACATTTGTCATGATATTTATTCCTTTAAAATAAATGTTTTTGTTAGAATGAGGGAAAAGCAGGCAGTTACAGAATACAGCACAGTTAACAGGCAGCTTATTCTGCTAGAGAGGAATTGGTTTACTTTTTATAGGCTCTAGCTCAGTGGTTCTCAACCTTTTTAATGCCGCAACCCCAACCAGTCGTAAGTCGAGGACTACCCAACCATTCGTAAGTCGAGGACTACCCAACCGGTCGTAAGTCGAGACTACCCAATCGGTCGTAAGTCGAGGACTTTCCCTGCCTGGGAGCACCGTGCATGCGTGGTGCCACCCCCTGTGCCGGCCGAGGCATAGTTGGCAAGGGTCAGCGACGGCGCAGGGCAACCACCGGCTGGGCCACCAGCTGGCCCGGCCCAAGGGAGATAAGGCACCCGCCGGGCCCCACGCGCGCCAGAAACCCTCCTTGTGCCCGCCGGCCTCCCACCTCCCATCCCTGGCCCTCTTTTACTTACATTTTTAGTAGTTGCTCAGCAGGGAGGGGGGGTGGAAGCTTCCAAACAGCTCATCTTCGCTGCAGACAACTTGCAGCACCGTTTGCAGACTGCGGCTTTTGGCGGGCTCAGCAGGGCAGAGACAGCCTGGACAATTCCTAGTGGCTTTTGAAAGCCAATAGAATAGACTCTCTTGAATAGAGAGTCTTTCCTATTATTTATTTATTATTTATTATTATTTATTTTAATAGAATAAAAGGGAGTAGCACAGCTAAGGAAAAGGGGAAAAAATGGTGGACTGCGATGTTTGGCAACCCCCATGAAATGGTCATTCGACCCCAAATGGGGTCGCGACCTACAGGTTGAGAACCACTGCTCTAGCTGCTTTTCATAAAAGAAGAGGCTGGTAGGAATGATGACCTGAAAAAAACCCAGGAGGTCTGATAAGGGAGCTGCAACTCATTTCAGCTTTAAGTCTTTGACTCTTTGCCCTGCAGATGAAGGAGGCTCTCCTCCCATATTGTCTGATAAGGGAAAGAAGAGACTGATCTGCAGAAGTCTCCTCTGATTTGATACAGGTCATTTAGACTACACTTCTAATGTTTTGGCCGCCATGATACCTTTAGGTCTTCTTCTGCTTGTTTACTTATCAAGGTTTACACACACACACACACACACACACACACACACTCCATTCACACACTTTAATGCTGAACCTGACCCATTTTCCTTCAAGTGTTGCCCTACTTTTCTTTTTTTGCAGAACCAGAGACATGCCATATTATTATTATTATTAGATTACCCTCTTTTTATCAAATGAAAAGGGACTTGCTGGACTTGAGTGCTTTAAGGGTAAGAGAATGTTCTCTGCAGGCAGGCAGCAGTTTTCCAAGTAATGGTGCAAGGTTGAAGGACTATGGAGCATGGCCGGAGGACAGAAGGAGATTGTGTATCTGTCAGACTTAATAAAGTAAAGTACACACATGGGGGAAAATTCATTTTGTTATAAGGGGGCAGGGAAGAGGGAGGCTGCAGCTGCTGGTAAAGTGATACAGAAGAGCTGGCCCTGTTGTCATGATGAGAACCTGCAGTGTGTACTTTCTTTGTGTCTGTGAGAAATTCTGCTTGCAAGTAGTGCAAAGGACAAAGTAAAACTTGCATTAATTGTCTATATATGTATTTCAGGTAGTGCTGTGTGGGTGCTGGAAAGGCCTGTACTCAGGGCCAGTCTCAATCATGGAACATCATCTATCATGGTGTTGTAATGAGAAGAGGAAGTGCTAGCTATACAGCTTTGCACTGCTGAATGAAAGGCATTCATGGTGATGGTGGTGATGGTGATGAGATTGCAAACAGTATAGTTAGCTGTCCAACCTTTAGCCAACATAAGTCCTGCTTCGTCTGAACAAGACTTATTTATGTGAACTCAAATAACTTATTTATTTATTTATTTATGAGACTTATATACCACTTTAAGTGCGAGCACTCTCTAAGCGGTGTACACCAGTAAGCAATGTGTGTGTGTGTGTGTGTGTGTGTGTGTATGTATGTATAAATGTATGTATGTATGTATGTGTATATACACACACACACACACACACTGCCCCCAACAATCTGGGTCCTCATTTTACCTACCCCGGAAGGATCACACACACACACACACACACACACACACATTGCCCCCAACAATCTGGGTCCTCATTTTACCTACCCCGGAAGGATGGAAGGCTGAGTCAACCTTGAGCCGGTGAGATTTGAACCGCTGACCTGTTGAGCACAGTCAGCTAAAGTGGCCTGCAGTACTGCACCCTAACTGTTGCGCCACCTCGGCTCTTAATGAAATAGATACAATCTATTTATCTGGACAAGTAGATGCAAAATTCTGAATTGTTTCAGTGCCCAGTAAAGCATGAATGCTGCTTATTAGTATTGGTAATCTAGAAATATTTGTTGAGCCATAAACCTGGGCCTAGATGTGTATCGCCCATCCCTGATAGTTTACATGTTAGCAGTGGTGCCACTTATCTTGATGAAAATTCAGGTTTGTAATCAAATTCATTCTTAAAGTCACTATTTAACATGATAAAGTGAGGGAGTTATTATTTATTTACTTACTCATTCCAAAATTACTCTTAACAAGCAGCCAAAAAAGCATATCCAAACCTGTTTGATGTAGGAGTCTAGTAATACTGGATGCCTGAAAGGGTAAGGCTGCGTCAGATGGCTTTAAGGAAATATTTCTTCCACAGTTTCTCTGTGGATCAGGGATCCCCATTCCTGCTTGAACACACCATTTTCCACTATTGTACCATGTTGTGTGGTAGTGGTAGAAACGAAGGTTTAGTTTTTATAAGCAATTATTTTGCTAATTGCAACTATTTTAAGCAATCTATTGTACCTCTTGCACTGTTGTATTTTTGTCTTTCCTTAGCTGGTGAAACAGGTTAAGAGATTAAGAATGCATATTTTGTCAACTCAGGTTTCTGCAAATGTACATACCAATCATTGCAATGTAAATTGTTTTCAAATTAGCATGCGGATTGCACCTATGGTTGCGCTTCTTATAATAACCTGGGCAATAGAGCTAAGTGCCTCTGCATTTATTTGGCGTTACCTCAGAGAAGTCATTAAATTAATAGCCATAATAAGGGGAGTCTGCATACTGACAGTTTAATCCAACTTTTTCTATTTGAATTATGTTAACCCATAGTATGTGAGTTCATGGCTTCAGTTGCATTAGAAATAGGAGTGTGCCAACTTAGGAGCCTGGTTGCCTTCAGAAAGAAATTCTGAGGATGCCAGGTGTCTTGAGATTAGAAAACTTTGCCAGTGGATATCATGAAACATGATATTTGCAGTTTATTCAGGTAGGCTGGATAGCCTTTCAGGCTTCTGGAGGAATGTTCTTTGCACAGGTAGATCAAATGGGTATCTTTTGGATCTACTTGGGTATTATGTCTGGCAGAAACCAAGTGCCGTATTTTGCGATAAGAACTTTATATTAAGCCGAGCAGGGAGATAATTTGACAATGCTATGTGGTAAGGCTGTTTGCTTCCTCCTTTAACACCTCCTTAATTCACATGCTTTCAGATGGAAGTGTGGCAAGCCTTGAGAAAGCCATGACTCCTTTAAGAAGCTACTGACAAATAGAATAAATGCGTAACTAGAGAAGAAGCTTCCCTTCTTTGCATCCAAATAGCTGCACATCTCTAGGAAGGATCCATGCAAAGCTCTGATAATGTTCAGTGGGAAAGACAGGCACAATTCCGAAAACCCCAAAGAGGGCAGAGATATATACGGAGACCTGTAGATGTTATCTGGGAGTGTTGCGGATGATGTAACGCTCATGCCAGTGTATTGCTTGCCCTGCAGCAAGAGAAAGTTTCAGGATAGCATTCTGACATTCCTGATTATGGAGCATCTCCCACAATATCAGTTAAGCCATGTTCTAAATATGATGCTTGTTTTAGTATTTAGAAACCATCATCCAATATTGATTTCTCTTAAGACTATCCTAAACCTTGCTGTTCAGTATCTTGGTTGTGCATTTTCTCCTCTTTTTTTCCCTTGATGTAGTACCAGATTTGGATACATAGATCCTGTAGCAAAGTATCTTCTCTATTTAAATATGGTTCCTGGTAGTCCATATTAGATTCATATTTTTGTAACTGAATAAAATGGGGTGATTGTGTCTGTGTGTGTGCGCGCGCTTGCGCAAGCGCGAGCATGCATTTTCTGAACACTTGACATCTTATTACACTAAAGCAGTGATTCTCAACCTTTCTAATGCCGTGACCCCATAATACAGTTCCCCATGTTGTGGTGACCCCCAAGTGGGTGTGGCCACCAATAAGAGGAAGTAGGACAGCTAGGGAAAAGGGAAAAAAAATGGCGGACAGCATGGTTTGGTGACCCCCGTGAAATGGTCATTTGACCCCAAATGGGGTCCCGACCCACAGGTTGAGAACCACTGCACTAAAGCTTCATGCTTTAATTTTAAGACAGACTTCAGTACTACATAAGATACAAAAAGATACAAGTTTTTAGTCCCCGTTTTTAGAACCTTAATTAGTTGTCATGACTGAATTGAAAGAGAACTGCAAGGGAAATTCATTCTTTCTAAAAGGAAATTTGGGATTTTGTGCAATGTAGATTTCTGCTCAATATTCACCACTAACTTTTGCCTCTTTAAAATTTCTTTCAGGATGGACTGCTGATTTGGAAACCATCACAAACCTGGTCCTACAGCCTGGCTGGTCTGCTTTCTGCTTTATTTATCTATTACTAGTTATTTGAATTGAACTTTTAATAACCTGCCAGCTGCTCTTTAGACACACATGGTGCATTGTTGTCATTCCCAGAATCACATCTTTGAAATCCAGGACCTTGGTAACCTTCTTCAAACAAAGAGGCGACCTCAAGGATAATATCTGCAGGAGGACTTTTCAAACCTACCGCTCTCTAGTTTCTCTTCTGCCTCTGCCCTCTTTCTAGAACATTATGGAACCCACAATGGAGTCCTGCTTGATGCAGGTCCTGCAGAAAGATGTTGGGAAACGACTTCAGGTTGGCCAAGAACTGATAGATTATTTCTCAGATAGACAAAAATCTGCTGACCTTGAACATGATCAGACCATGCTGGATAAAATGGTTGATGGTCTTGCTACCTCGTGGGTAAATTCCAGCAATTATAAGGTAAGCTTGATTTGCAGAGACAGGAGTGTGAATGGGGAGATCTTGTGTATTTGCATAGGTTCTTCAGTCAGTTTTGGAACAATGAGTTCACATTGCAAATCCCTGGAGGCCCAGCACATTTCTTACTGATCCATGATAAGCTTTCATTTGTGGCATTTCCTCCCCGTCCCCTTTGTTTTTATGAACACTCACACCAACTTGTAGGCATAGGCACTTTCCAATGAAAATAAAAAAAGGAACCATGTAATTGAATTTGACAAGTTATTGGTTTTCTTTGCTGGGTGCTTGGGATGGTGATCCAAGCTGAACAGATAAAATATTGTGTGTGTGTGTGTGTGTGTGTGTGTGTGTGTGTGTGTTTCCCTGTTCAGGATTGGGGATCCAGGTTCAACTTCTTACAAAGTCATGGAGGCTAATTGACTGACTTTAATCAGTATTGTTGTGGTAAGAACAGTTGGAGGAAGAAGAACTCTTCATGGTGACGCCTAGAAGAAATCTGGCTATAAATCTAATGAATTAAGTAGAGGATCAAAATAGTAACTGCCATTTATTTTTTGCCAAGAGACCATTTGCATAAAAAGAGTATGTATGTAAGATTAAAATGTTATATTTTAAAAGACATTGGGCTGTTCTTCAAAAGTTAATCTTGTGTTTTACCTCCAATGCTTCTTTTTTAAGTAATTATGCTGTATGTTTTCCTTCCTTCTCTTCTAACTTTATTGGTTGCTACAAACAATAATCTTAATAGGGTTCGAGTTAGGGCAATCAATTAAGTCCTATTGCTGTTACAGGAGGAGAGACTGTAATAGCATTTCCTGTAGCATACAATAACTTTGATAAATATTTTTCCACAGGGAAAGGTTATAGGATAATAGGAATCATTTTGAAAAAGTCAAATAGGGAAGAATTTATTCTGTTACTAATCAGACAATGTCTGACATCAAGGATTCATAATTTTAATAGAACAGAGATTTTGCATTGTATGGTATAAATATCAGGCTAAGTATTACCTGAGTGACACAACTGTGGGTGATGGGGGTCCTTAGAGCCTTTTCAGGAGAATCTGCAATTTCCCAGATATTAACTGATTTGTAATTCCCAGCATCACTTATTGTTCATACTGTCTGGTGCTGGTGAATATTGTATTTATGCAAATCTGCAGAACCACATGTTTCTCTAGCATGATGACTGAAGAATCCACCAATGGGTTATTTCAGTCCTCCTGCCCAATCAGACTAAGTTGTCAAGTTGTCACGTCCCTCATTGACCGGGACTTCCCAGTTTCATCTTAATCTTTCGCCAATGAGGATGTGATAACTTGACTCTCTTCATTGGAATAGCAGGTCAGACTAGATATTGTTAAAGCATTGGTGGGTTCTTCCTGGAGAATAGGAGAATTGTAGTTGGGTTAGTCCTTCTTCAGGAGGTTTAGCCATTTTTTCCCCTTTCCTTTTTCTTGGGAGCAGAGTTGTATTCCTCTCGTTGCTGGGGGGGGGGGAGTGGCTGCTTCTCCAGCAGGATGACTGTAGAGTCCAAATGGATGGGTTCTATGACGGCCTTCCTGCCTGGCAGACTGGGTAAAAACTTCGGCCACACCCCTTCCTTTGGGCGTGACCCCAGTTTTGACTCAGTCTCGAAGCCTGGTACAAGTGCGAGAGGCAGCTCTCAGAACCAAACGAATTTAAACTCAAAGAAAAAAAAAAAAAAAAAAAGGAATCCCCTCTTCTTCCCTTTGCAAGAGAAACTTCCTGGCAGCGATTAGAACTGAGAGAGGCAGCCAGGATCGGCGGACTCGTGAGTGGGGCTAGCTGGGGAGGCTCGGAACGGGCCGGATCGCCCACCCTTTCTTCCGGCCCGCCGAGCAGCTGTTGGGCGCGGGGGATCTCACCGGGTTGCGCGCAGCCCTCCGGGCCCTCCCAACAGCTGAGCAGCCTGGCCGAGGGAGCTGAGCACCCCTCGGCGCGGAACAGCTGAGCCGCGCGGGAAGCGGCAAACCAGGTCGCCGCTCGGCTGCGATCAGCTGAGCGGCGCGATAGACAACGCGGCAAGAGCAAAGCCGGCGCTGAATTTCCCTCTATCCAGAGGAAAGGCGCAGCCCCCTCATGACTAGAGGAGTCTTCCTGATTGCAAAAATCAGGATCCGCCATTGTTTTTGAACCTCGTGGATTCCCGGGCTTCCATTGGGAGGCGTGGCTTCTTCCCCATTCGCCATTTTGGAAATTGATCTTCCCGCCGTTTCCCCTTGGGGGCGGGGCCATCACCCGGACTCCATTTTCCGGCAAACAAAGGGTTTTTTTTCCCTTGCAAGGATCTGAGGTTGCCCAGGGAAATTGAGACAGAGGAAGGAAGAGGGAAAGCAAAAAGAATCGTTTTTTCCTATCGTGGTCTGTTGCCACAGCCAAAGACTGGGGGAGAGAGAGAGAGATATAAACTGCACCTTGTCTGGACTAGGTGAGGAGGTGAGGAGGAATATTCTTCCCTAACTGTTCCTATAGTGGCCTTTAGTCACTGCCTGGCAGGATCTTCGGTCCAAAGAATCCTGTCTGTCCGGCCATTGTTTGTATAGGCAGAGGAGGGCACAGTCCCAAGCATCTGCCTCTGATCTGCGTACCTCATTCCCCCATCCCAGGCATTTCCTACTCGGGGTGTCTGGCACAATGGCAGACAATGTCTCGTATTCAGTCACACAGGTCCCTCAATTGTCCCCCCCACAGCAGCAGCGAAAACGCAGATCCTCTGAATCAGAGGTGGGGGGGGAGAAGAAAGCTAAAACAAAGCACCTTACTCAGAAGGGACAGTCTAAAACGGCTGAGCGAGAGGCTTTGAGGAGACATTTGGCTTTAGAAAGACAAATTAGCAGGGCACAGAGAACCAATGCCAATGGGACAAATTTGGTTTCCCCTGTCCCAGTGGCGGCACCCAGCACAGAACCTACTGCCGAGGAAGTGCTCAAGACTTGGTCTCCTCCTGGGGAAACTGAACAGTTAGATTCCTCCAATCCCTCCTCACCAGCTTCTTCTCCCTCACCCGACCACACTCCAGCGCCTCACCCCAGCGACAAAGCGCAGGAGAACATATGGTCGGCACAATTTCAGGCATTCATGCAGGATGCATTCTCCCAATTCATGGCTTCCAAAGGGCAAGTGGCCTTTCACACACCCCGTAAGGGACGAGCTAGGCCACCCCCTACCAACATCTCTGAATCTTCCTCTCAACTAGGAGAGGGTGACTCAGTAGATCTTGACATGTCAGACATGCCCCTATCGGAGGACGAGGAAACCGCACCTGAGCAGGAGACGAGCTCTGGCCTCTTTAACCCAGCGCTCCTAAAATCACTCCTGATAAAGGCAGTTTCCACAGTCAGCCTAACATCAGTACAGGATGAGAGGCCATCGACAAGCAAGGAGGCCAACCCTCTATTTGCCAAAAAGGTCCCACAGGACAAGTACATTCCATGTGCGGAGGTCTTCATGACCACGCTGGAGGAACAATGGTCCTCACTTGCAAGCCCACCGGCACCTAACAGCGCGGAGAGGAAGCTTTTCAACCTATCTCCCTCCTTCTCTAACATGTTAGAGGTTCCCACTGTAGATAACCCCTTGATCTCATTATTCTCTACCTCCGCGATTCCAGGAGACATGGCGGAGGTCTTGAAACCTGAGGAGAAGAAATTTGAACACTCCTTCCGGCGTTCCCACATGGCTGCAGCCTGGGCGGCCAGAGCAGCCACCTCATCATCATTCTTCGCGAGGGCCTGCATCATGTGGCTGAGGGAACTGCAGGGCACGGTGCCTCCAGACCAGGTCAGAGTACACCAGACATTGGCCAAACTCCTCGCGGCCTCTCAGTTCATGTCTGACGCTTCACTGTACGCAACAAAGTATGCGGCAAGATCCATTGCGGCCACAGTGGCCTCGCGTAGGCTACTGTGGCTCAAAAACTGGAAGACAGACCTGAGGTCCAAATGGCGTCTCTCGACGTCCAAATACAGTGGAGAGGCCCTATTTGGTTCCATTCTGGATCCACATGTCAGCGAAGGCAGAGACAAGAAAAAAATCCTAGTACATCCATCAAAGAAGTTAGACAGGAGAGGCAGTCAGGACTTCCGGAGGCAGGGCTCCCGCCCAGGAAGCCCCTGGGAATGGAGGCAGCCCTTTCGATCAGGGCAATCCTGGGACTGGCCCAGAGGCTCACGATCCTTCTACCCGAGACAGGATCGAACCCAGGATCGCCAAAGCCCGGGAGCCAGGGGCCAGTTCCAGTCCAGACGCCCATATAGAGGAGCGGGAGGCAGATCCTTTAAGCGTACCAAGTGACGCCAAACAGGATACACCCATCGGGGGTCGGTTAGGAAATTTCACCGAGGTCTGGGAACAGACCACTACCGACGCCTGGGTCCTGGAAACGATCAGGCATGGCCTGACCTTAGACTTCTGTTCTCCCCCTCCAAACCGGTTCATCAGATGTCCCATCTCCAGAAGAGTACACAAGACAAGGCTGATAACTTCGGCCATAGCTCACCTCCTGTCAATTCAAGCCATAGAGAAGGTACCAAAGGAAGAGGAAGGAAGAGGATTTTATTCTATCCTCTTCGTTATCCCAAAGACATCAGGAGGGTGGAGAGCAATCTTGGACCTGAAGGGCCTGAACTATTTCATAAAGTACAGGAGGTTCAAGATGCACTCCCTAAAGTCCATACTAGCCAGCGTCAGGGAAGACGATCTACTATCCTCAATAGATCTCACAGAGGCGTACCTACACATCCCCATCCACCCCAGCTACCGGAAATTCCTCAGATTTACCTACGCGGGGCGACATTACCAATACAGGGCATTACCCTTCGGACTGTCGTCAGCACCAAGGGTATTCACAAAGATCTTAGCTGTACTAGCGGCCCATCTCAGGTTGATCCCGGTTCGCGTCCAGTTTTATCTGGACGACATCTTGATCCAGTCCAGATCTCGGGAACAAGCAAGGGCAGATCTCAAGACCACAATCCG